GACTGGAAAATGTCTATCCGCTGTCTGAGATGGAAAGGATTGGACACATTCAGCTTGGGTGAGAGACAGAAGGTGAAAGAACGGAGGTGAACAGCTTAGATGGGTAGACAAGGGTGGCCATGACACAAAGGGTTCTATTAGTTATCCTGGCTTCGCAGATCAATATCATTGAATCCTTTTCTAAAGGGTAAAGCTGCTGTAGTCCTATCAGATCAAAGGGCTGCTTTCTCACTAAAGAGGGTGGTGGTTTAGTCAGAGGGTCACCACGCCTTAGGCAAGGGGAGAGGCTCGGAAGGAGTATCCTTTGCGGTAACCTCAGCAAGAGCAGGAACTGAACCCACGCCGTTCTGCACCACAACACCAGCCAGCCAGGGCCTCTTGCAGCATCACGACTCAGGCAATACATTAACACAGGTGAGACTGCCGCTCTTGTTTAGAGTGCCAGCAGATATTCCGCCAGCAGATATTCCACCAGCAGATATTCCGCCAGCAGATATTCCACCAGCAGATATTCCGCCAGCAGATATTCCGCCAGCAGATATTCCGCCAGCGCAAAGACAGTGTGAGTAAAGGCAGCGATTAAAGGTATTTAGGTGGACTCAATTTGAACTGCCCTGTTACAACACCCTTTGCCAGTTACATAGAAACATACAAATTAGGAGTAGAGTAGGCCATTCAGTCCCTTGAGCCTACTCTTCCTTTCAATAGGTTGATCTGATAGTGGCTGCCATAAATCTAGTTACACCCGGCTTAATAAATACTCAATACTCATTCTGCTTCATCTGTTACAGTGCCAAGAACTTATTGCAAGGGGTAATAGTGACATCTCAGACTGTTGTTATCCTACATTGAGTTTCCATTACAATGGATCCAGTCTAACTCTGGAGCAGCACGGGAGGGATTCCAGTTACACCCAGGAATAAATAACATGCTACAAAAACAGAAATTCCTGGAAAAGCTCAGCAGGTCTGGCGGCATCTAGCATTTTCCCAGCTGCCTGAAGAAGGGTCTGCGGACCCGAAACGTTAACTCTGATTTCTCTCCACAGATGCTGCCAGACCTGCTGAACTTTTCCAGCAATTTCTGTTTTTGTTTCTGATTTACAGCATCCGCAGTTCCTTCGGTTTTTATATATCACGTGCTGCCTGACACAGGGAGCACCCCCATCCCAAAACACAGGGAGACAGCAAAAGACTGGGAAGATAGAAAGGAAGAGGATGAATTCGAAGGGGCAGGAAGGGGTTAATGGGGAAGTGCAACTCAGAATGAATAATTGCTGAACACTGGCCCAACGGCTTCATCTGTTTCCACTCAGAGGGAGCAGTGAATCAGATTGTGCAAAAACCACAAGACAAGTCAAGTTCAGATTTACTCCCAAGGCCAATGCTTTGCAGTGCATTCTAAATTGCTGCAAGTTTCAAAGAGAAAGCCCTTGGATTAAAGTGCTGTTTACATCAGTTTAACGAGAGCAGACTCAGGTAGTATGACGAACACACACACACACACACACACACACACACACACACACACACACACACA